CTGCAACCCCAGCTAGCTCACTGTGACAGGATGACAACTAACATGAATCGAACCAGTTTGAACCAACCATTACCAAGGAAAACTGTACATATAAATATATCAGTGTCCATAATAGAAAAACTCTTGACATATATGCACTTATGTACCTATGTTTTCTATATACATATATAGTGCAGCTAATGTTCGTTAGAGGCGACTTTTGTCACACTTATTTCGTACACAATCATGTCAATCCCACAGTACTTTCCGATACCCGAATCCGTACCTGACTGCAAGTAAACTCTCGCTCGGATATTTAAATCGCCAGTCGCACGCATGCTTCTAACAACTCATGGCGAGAATTTTAATTATTTCATTAATCCTATGCAGATTCTGTGAATTCATTAAAAACACGTATCGAGCGCTGTCGGCCAAGAAGCTTGCGCAAACTTCAGGTTAATTTCAAAGCATACTGTATAAGCTGTATATTTCGCGGTGGTTTAATTTTCGCGAATTTCGCGAACCCGTCCCAGACGCGAAAATAACAACACGCGAATAATTCATACCGAATAATACCGACGAATAATACATAATTCACCGACCGCGAAATTAACCACTCGCGAAATTGTCCGTCAAGTCTGAATTCGCGAAAATATCTGTACGCGAAATATACAGCTTCTACAGTATTCATCATTGTGGCAAAGCATCAACGAGGATTCATGTCTAGTACGATCGTCTGCGTTTTTTCGTCGCTCTGTGAAAGCCCGCATTCCTCGAGAATCTGTTGGCGTAATCATGAAACAGTGCCCTCTGCTTCTCTGCTCGCAGTATAACGTGTATAGTGACGGCAGTTTGTATGTATAGTGAAACGTCGAGGAAATATCTATCTATCGGCGAATGTTCATCGGTCGTATACATGACGTGGCGCTGAACTGCCGTCTGGAGTGAAGCCAATCTGGGCTGTCAGCATCTTCTTGCGCTGGTCGGCAGCCTTGTAGCAGCAGCAGCAGCAGCAGCAGCAGCAGCAGCCAGCGAGAGCCATAAATTTTCACGTATCTGTAGAATTACGATAAGATACAGTTCAATCACGATCTCTGTGCTGTATATAGATTTCGATGCGTGTGATTATTCGTGTGTGTGTGTGTGTGTGTGTGTGTGTGTGTGTGTGTGTGTGTGTGTGTG